TTGCATAGATCTGCTGTGTATCCACAGTGCTGACACAGTGCAAGTAGGTCTGACTGCAGCTCAGTATCATCCTGCACTGGCTTGTTTATATTTCTTTCACCCAATAAACTTTGGGCTATATTCAGAGTAATTTGTCTGCCTTTATCTTTGTATTTAGAAGGGATACTAAGTGATACAGATCAGCCATTATTTGATACGATTCCAGATTTTTTTTTTTTACAGTTTCATGTTTATATCAAGAAAAATGTTTTGCATTAGGAAGTTATTGCATTTTTAAAAAAAATTGTACATGTATCCATCCATTAGCTATACGCCGCTTAATCCTCTATTTTAAAGATTTTAACAGCAAATTCCAAAATGATAACAACAACAACAACAACAACAACAACAACAACAACAACAACAACAAAAATGAGAATTTAAAAAAATTAACCAAAATTTTTACCAGTTTGGTTAATTAGGGTTTCAATTACTCCAGGATAATAGACGTTTTTGTGTACCAAATGGTCAGAAATGCAAAGATTTCTGTCAAATAAGTTAACACTGACTCACTGCCTTCAGTGTATGCAGACAGATCATGCTGAATCATCTCCAAAAGCCCATTCTGAGGCAGGAACAACCCTGAACACTTTGTAATGCATTCTAAAGTCAATCTAGATTGCATTGCACATATTCCTGTATGACATTATCATTGTTGTTGTGGTGGTGGTGATTACATGCATCTTTGCAATATTGAGCCGTACTCAATATTAGTGACTCAAGGACATTTGAAAGGATAATATTGGACATTCTTATGCATGAAATACTCTCGAATATGTGTTTCCTGTTAAATTGACCAAGGTGGAAAAACTGAAACAAAACCCTTAATCTATTTGTTCAATACCCCCAATTTATTTTAAGCCTGAATACACAGTTTGCAGAAGTTAATTGTGGTTTAATTTTTACTGTGATTTGTATTGTATGCATTGTGATATCACTAAAGTTCTGAGAAGATATAAACTTTATTTATGAAGAGTAAATCACATTGTCACAATCATTTTATGAGAAGATGTAAAAAATATTCATGGTGTATATTGACTTGGGCTGCTGTTGCCTCATCACTGGCAGCGTTGCTTCCAGGAATAAAATTGGCATCTCCCTGTGTGATGATGGGAAAGCGAGTGGGAAAGTTACCAAAAGATGGCAAATTTTGAATTTTTAAATGCTTCACCCCAGTGTCTGAGTCATTCATTTTTTTCTTTCTTCCTTATTTGGAAGACA